GGTAAAGTGTCTTACCATGGAGGATGGAATAAGGCTGCCCTCCCCAGAAACCTTTTGCAAAGGCTTTGGGAGTACATCCAGGAGAGCTTTATGGAGATGTCCCTGGAGGTTTTCCGCTCCATCCCAAGACATGTTAACAGACTTTTCCAGTAGCTATACTGGCCGCGAATGCCAGGGCAAATTAATCATTAAACACGCTTGCTTTTAAACCATGTATAATATTTACAAAGGTGCACTCACAAGAGCTCCTTTCTCCGCCTTCACGGTCTGGGAGCCCGCCTTGGGTGGGTTTGGGCGGTACTGGGTCCACGTCCATGGTAATAAACAGATCCTAGCTGTTGGGGAAACCGGTTTTTCTGCTTCCTTGCTGTGAGATGTCAACACCCATCTCATCTTCCTCAGCCCAAAACCCGCTTCCGTGTTGCCTCGCACTCCTTGGATGGAGTCAAAGCACAGGGTTGGGGTAGTGGTGGCTGCACCCCTAGAATGGCATGCAGCTCATCATAGAAGAGACACGTCTGGGGCTCTGAACTGGACCGGCCATTTGCCTCTCTGGTTTTTTGGTAGGCTTGCCTGAATTCCTTACTTTTTGCGTGGCACTGCTGTGGGTCCCTGTTGTAGCCTCTGGCCTTCATGCCATTGGAGATTTTTTCCAAATATTTTGGCATTTTGTCGTTTCGAACGGAGTTCTGCCAGCACGGATTCATCTCCCCATTCAGCGATCAGATCCCGTACCTCCAGTTAGGTCCATGCTGGAGCTCTTTGGCCATTCTGGGACTGCATGGTCTCCTGTGCTGATGGGCTGTGTATGGTGACCTGTGCAGGTGAGTTCGCCACGCAGGCCAAACAGGAAATGAGATTCAAAAGTTCATGGGCCTTTTCCTGTCTACCTGGCCGGTGCATCTGAGTTGAGAGCGCTGTCCAGAGCGGTCACAACTGAGCACTCTGGGATAGCTCCCGGAGACCAATACTGTTGAATTGCGTCCACACTACCCCAAATCCAACCCGGCAAGGCCGATTTCAGCGCTAATCCCCTCGTCGGGGGGTGGAGTAAAGAAATCGATTTTAAGAGCCCTTTAAGTCAAAGAAAATGGCTTCGTCGTGTGGACAGGTGCAGGGTTAAATCGAGGTAACGCTGCTAAATTTGACCTAAACCCATAGTGTAGACCAGGCCTTTGCCAACAGAAGTACTCTTCCATCAACATAGCTGCATCTACACTGGGGTTTTTGTAGGCATAACTATGACAGTCGGGGATGTGGTTTCTTAACACCCCAATTGATGCATATATGCTGATATAACTGTTCAGTGTAGACCAAGCCTGAGTTTTCTTCCCTCGGATCAGTGGAGGCTGATTTGGCCCTAAGCAATTTGAGAAATCTTTTATCTCTTTTTTTGTTATCATGTTGCACAGAGAGAAATTAGTATCTTTTGCTTTGAGCAACGTTAATTTGCTTGCTATCAGATATTTTGTAGTAACTTATGGTCCAGTTCTAATTCCACTGAAGTCGGTGGGAGTTTTGCCACTCAATTTTATTTTTCTTTGGGAGCATATTTTAGTATTGTGGCTTTGGCTTGAGGCCTTTCACTTTTCTTCATAACATACCTTCTGTTCTGGTGTTTACAGATCTTTGTAATGTTAGTTGGCACAGCAGCACACCAGATAGGAGAGTTATGTTCTTTATGGGCAAGTAAACAAAAAACAAAACACATGGTACTTCCCTGTTGAACTCTGTCTATACAGAGTTTACCGTTGTAATAGATATGGGGTGGATCCAACAAAAGGCAAATCCTTTTAAGGTTTTAGCTTGCACAGAAAATGTGGAGGAAGTTTTTTAAAGGTAAATTTAAACATTATTTGGCATCTATGACCCTTAATTAGAAAATTGGTGTTCAGGAATATCTATAGTTCAGCTAAATATCTCTTTAGCTGACCAGTATTAGGGCTAAATTCTGTCTGCATAGGAGTCAATGGCAGTTATGTATGCATGCAACTGAGGGTAGAAGTTGTTCCATTAACGAATATGGGGCCTAAGTTCTCCTTCCTTATACAATACAACAGGGAGAAAAGCAGTAGGAATTAAAGCAAAAAATGCCCTAAATCTGCAGAACGGATGGAGTGAGTTTATCACAGTGTCAGTAGACTTGCCCCCCGACTCCCAAGCCTGCAGATAGTCCTCCCTACCTATTCAGTGTGTGAATGATTCCTTAAAGATTTTTTTTTTCCAGTGGAGCAGTGATAGACGAATGGTTAAAACTACGAACTAGTCACGCTTTGTGGCATGCTTTCTCCATCCGTTTGCAAATTTCTAAGCAGAAATCAGAGTGGTGAAATAATGTTACTAAAAGAAGCCATAACCCCCCCCCGAGTCCTCTGTGATTCCTAACACACACCTGCTGTGTGAGCCTCCAATGGCAGCATGACTCCTGAAGTGGGGGAGGTTTTTTCCCCCCTCTCTAATTTCAGATTGTTTGTTTATTTTGCATTTGAAAGGACTTGGTATGCAATCAATTTCAGTGTTTCTTCTGTATAGTCAGATTCATATAAATGACAGGGGAAGCTGTCTGTCACACCTTAACAGGAAAGAGAAAAGAATTTTAAAACAGAAAACGTGATTTGTAGAACCACAAAAATTGAACAGTATTGAAACTACTTTAAAATAATGTTTAAACAGTCAATATTTCAGGTTGACTTAATCTCTTGAAATACTATTGGTGAGGTTTTTGCCTCTGCTTCAAGCCCTTTGTGCCAGGTAAAGTGGTTCTAGAGCTCTGATTCTGACCAGGAGAGAATTGTTCTAGTATGGGCACTGCAGAAGACTGCCATATGCTGTCCACATACCCCTTTTTCAAGACATTTAGCAAAGCCGGTATGAATAGCATGTTGGGGTAGAGCCAGGGTGGAAGAGAAAAGTTAGGAGCTGAAATTGCAGCATGTAGTGCAGAGGAGACTGAGCAGCACAATTTCGCAGAGGCAGGCAGGTACAGACTGTTGTAACTTAGACTGTCTCTCAGGATTGTCTAAATTCCAGGAGTTGCTCTGGACCTGTGTTCCCTCTAAGCTGCATGGTTGGGCAGCTGCCAAAGAGTGATTCAAGTGCTGCACGCTTGATTAGCAGAGCCGTTTACATCTGGCAGTGTGTGTGTTCAGGTGCTTCCCTCCCCCACACTTTGCACCCACATTTCTCCTGAGATACTCCTGCTGGCTGTGCAGAATGGGGATGGGGGTGGGAAGAAGGGAGATGCTTATGTCAGGGTGTCCCCCCTTCCCCTGCCCCTGTACCACATAGCCACAGAGCAGGGGAGAGGGGAAAGCCTGGCCCAGGACTCCGAGCAGAAGAGAGCTGCCTTCCAGGTGAATGAGTGAGTGCCTTAAAGAGACAGTGCACAGTCTGAGACCTCCCCAGCAGCCAGCTCTCTCTCCTCTCCCCTCCCCCTGCCCATGTACCCCATTTCTGCAGGGGGGGTGGGGAGACAGGACTCAGGAGAGCTTTCAGAGAGTGCCTTAAAGAGACAGTGCATGACATCTCTCAGAAACTTTCCCAGCAGTCAGCACACCTACTGTTTCTGTGTCTCACATATACATGCTCTCTTGCTCACTCACTTTCACGCTCACCTCTCAACACACACAAGTATTTTTGTTACTTCTTGGTATTTCCTACTGCAATGCACACATATTCTCTGTAATTTTATTCTTTCAAAGTGCTGTTTTAGTTTTTTGACTGGTCTATGCATTTCATAATTTTTATTTCTCTCGTACACTTAAATTTAATTCTTTGAGTAGTGAGTTCTAAAATGCCTAACCTGTCCTGGCTGGAGTAATTATCCCTATGGTAACTTTTAAAAAATATATACTATATCTAGGTTTTTTGTTTCTACTGGTGGTGCATAAAACAAAATTTATTCCACCTACCTTAATGGAAAAAATTAGAGGGAACATTGCTCTGGACCCTGGTGCAACCTAAAATTAGGAGGCAATGAAGGTGGCTTAAAGCCACCCTTACACCCTTTTTGCCCAAGTTGAACTGCTTTTTTGTCAGTCATATCTGCCAGTAAGACATTAAACAAACTGTAATCTGATGTGTTTTTTTTTAAGCACTGTAGTTGAAAAATTCAAGGTTGGAAAATATTTTAATTTTACAAGGAAATGTTCACAGTAGCTCAGTTAAAATAGTTACCCTTGGGAAAAGAACTCCTGAACTGCTTGTTCATGAACCAAGAACATAAAACCTTCTGTTGTTTTTTTGATCTATTAATTTTACAGCAATTAAAAATATAATCTGCCCGCCCCCCCCCCCAAAAAGAGGGAAGACTAATAAAAAACTGTAACTGATAGAGAATATTTTGCATCCATGGCCAATTTCTGTAAGGGAAATGTACAGTGTTTTACAGGAAGTGACTTGGTTGTATTTAATTAATAAAATAATAGTCTACTCCGATACACTAGTGAAACCCCTTAGGCAAAATTATCTGCTGCTGAAACTCCACTGAAACAAGTGGCATTGTGCCAGCAAAACATGCACTAACAATGAAAATCTGCTTTATAGAATACCTAGAATCAGAATGTTTGAGGTTTCATACAGCATGAAAATTAGGCACTTTGGGTAAAATTTCCAAAAGCACTTACGTCCAATTTTCAAAAGTGACTTAGACACTTAGGAGCCTATGTCCCATTGACTTTTCTAAGACTTAAGAGCTGAAGTGATTTAGGCACTTTTGAAAAAAATTACTCTTTGGTCCTGATTCAAGTAAATACTTAATATGTTAAGTAGAAACACATGCTTAATTTTCATTGATGTAAAAGCTTAAGTGCTTTCCACAATCAGTGGTTATATTTATTGCATTCTGTAACGATGTTGAATACCTTTTGCTTTGTATATCTTTTGCTCTAACGATAGTATTCAGCATTATATCAGCTACAAAACGTTTTTCAAGTTACCTAACAGAAGAAATTTAACATTGCTTGAGATTTAAAATTTTTTTTCTTTATATCCTGTTACAGGACACAATGATTACATATGTCCAGCTACCAATCAATGCACAATAGATAAAAATAGGCGTAAAAGCTGTCAGGCATGTAGACTACGGAAATGCTGTGAAGTAGGAATGATGAAATGTGGTGAGTTGTGGGTTTGTTTTTTTTTTTAAATCCCCTTTTGTCTTTTCTATACAACTTCTAAGTTATGCTTAAGTCTAAAAAAAGGCATGGCAGGTAACTAAAGTAAGACTTACATTTACATGTAGGAAGGAAATCACTGATTTTCATGAGAAAGAGTCACTCCAGTTAGTATTCATTTTGGGAAGAAAAATAGTAGGAAGCATTAAGGCTCCAGTCCTGCAACATGTAGCATGCAGGAAGACTGCTTTACTTTCCAGGCGCAACCTGAAGGCAGTTCACCTGGATGTTACACCTTGCAGGATGAGGTCCTAAGGCAATGTCTACACTTAAAAACTTACAGAGACACAGCTGTGGTGATGGAACTGTGCCACTGTAAGAGTGCTCATGTAGCCGTTTTTTGCCAATGGGAGAGAGCTCTCTCATCGACATAATAAAACCAGCTCAATGAGCGATAGTTTCTATGTTGGCAGGAGAGCGTCTCCCTCTGACATAGCGCTGTGTACACAAGCCGTTATGTCAGCAAAATTGGAAAAAATAATCTGAACTGTACATACAAAATAATGGGATCTAAATTAGTTGTTACTAGTTAAGAAAGATATTGGATTCATTTTGGATAGTTCTCTGAAAACATCTGCTCAGTGTGCAGCGACAGTAAAAAAAAAAAACCTAACAATATTAGGAACCATTAGGAAAAGAGAGTAACCAAGTACTCCTTTTCTTTTTTGCAAAGACAGACTAACACGGCTATTACTCTGAAACCTAGGAAAAGAGAGGTAATAAAACAGGTTCAGAGAAGGGCAACAAAAATGAGTAGGGGGTATGGAACCACACGAGGAGAGATTAAAAGACACACTGTTCATCTTTGAAAAGAGATGACCAAAGGGGTATGATAGAGATCTATAAAATCATGAATGGTGTGGAGAAAGTGAATAGTGAAGTGTTGCTGCCTATGTGAAAAGGTAAATAAGTTTAAAACAAACATAAGGAAGTACTTCTTTGCACAGCACACAATCAACCTGTGGAACTCATTGCCCAGAGGATGTTGCAAAGTCCAAAAGTATAACTGGTCTCAAAAAAGAATTTAAGTAAGTTCATGTAGGATATGTTCATCAGTGGCTGTTAGCCAAGATGATGCCCCATGCTCCAGATGTCCCTAACCCTCCAACTGCCAGAAGCAGGGATTGGATGACGGGAGATGGATCACTCAAAATTACCCTGTTCTGTTCATTTCCTCTGAATTCCCTCTGAAGCATCTGGCAATGGCCACTGTCAGACAGGATACTGGCCTAGATCAGTGGTTCCCAAACTGGGGTTCGCGAAATGTTACAGGGGGTTCTCGGGGGGGATTCCCTAATGGCAGACAGAGCTGTCCCTAGGGACCCTGGGTAGCACGGGGTGAGCAGCCCGGAGCCCCTGGACTTCCAAGAGGTAAGCCGATCAAAGCAAGCATATCTATCACACTGAGGAGATTTAAACTTCAAGACTCCTTATAAGAACTGGAAAGGGAGGTGGATATTTTTTGCTGTTTTTTAAAATTAAATAGGCAGCTAGTATTGTTTTTAAAATTATTACGAAGAACAAGTTTAAGCGTTGTTGTAATGTGTATTGTTTGCCTGGATTGCTCAAGACCTGAATTGTTGTTGTGTTGGAACTCTTTGAGTTGGCTTCTTAAATACCTTCATGCTGTTTCACCTCTGATACTCCTTGATGAAACATAGGAGCCTTGTCTTATAACAGGCTTATTCAAAGTGCTACAAGCTACGAAAGTGAGATCTTGGAAGAGTGTTGCCGTTTTCGTAATGTAATAAAAATACTGTAACAATAAAGAATTAATAATAGTGTGTAATAAGCATGTCATAAAAACATTTTATATTTCCAAGATCACTACTTTTATAATTTATACTCAGGTAAAGGAGAAAATCCCTGGAAATATTCATTTTTAGGAGGGGGTTCGCAAGCCTTGACATTTTAGTGAAGGGTGTTCACAGGTTGTTAAAGTTTGGGAACCACTGGCCTAGATCAACTATTGGTCTGGCCAAGTATAGCTGCTCTTACGTTCTTATGTTTTTGTTGTCAAAAAGATAGTATTTAAAGGGTCACTGTTAGGCAAAAAATCAAACTGAGAGAATTGTAAATATCTAATTTACTTTTCTATTGAATTGGGATAATGATACTGACCTTTGTAAAATGATTGAGCTCTACTGATAAGTGCTATATAAGAGCTACGTATATTTTATTACTATTTATTATTTATTATTTTCATAGTTAATGCTGCTTGTCTAAGCTGAGGGAAATGTAAAAAGTGAATGATAATAGGGTAGTTGCTTTAATCTGGTTCTCCTGAAGTAAGCTTCCAATCCTGCAAATGTGTGCGCATCTTAACTTTATGTGCTGGGTAACATTTTCAGAAGCGTCTGTCCTATTTTCAGAATTGATTTAGTTGCTTAGGGTGGGGTCACAAAGGGGATTTAGGTGTCCAGTTGCCACTTTAGGCATCAAAAGGCAATATTTAGGTGCCACTGACATTCACAAACCCCTGCTCAGTTGCTGCCTAACTCTGTAGGCACATAAAATCCCTAGGCACCTAAGTTTCCACTATTAAAGTCCCCAGACACCTAAATTTCATCAGCTAGGCATGTGCATAGCCGCCAAAATCCTGTCACTGCCCAGTGCTTGGCACCCATGGGTAGGTCTGCACTTTGAACTAGGAGTGTGATTCCCAACTCGAGGAGGCACATGAGCAGTGCAAGTGGCGGGAGGGGCTAACTGCCTCAAGTGTAAGCCCATCAAAGTCGCTAAGTACATACTTGGGGCAGCTAGGCCCTCCCGCCGCTCATACTGCTGGGCTGCAATCTCCTTTGAGAGTGCTAGCTCGATGACTGCTAGCATTAGTGTGGCTCTTCGAGCTGGCAATCAAACCCCCAGCTAGAAGTGTAGACATACCCTAATTTAAACCTAAGCCCCACTGGGATTCATAAACTAGGTCTTCCCCTGCCTATCTTGCCCTTGCGGGAGGAGGATGAGCAGTTTTCCTTTTTATGATCTTTTGCCCAATGGATAGAGTACTCACTCAGGATATGGGAGACTTGGATTCAGTTCCCACCTTAATGAGGGGCTAGAACCATTGGATATAGTCACTCACTTGTGGAACCAGTGAATATTTAATTATTTATACAGTAGAAGAACTCCAACAGTCGAGATGGAGAGAGACCTGACCCACAATACCCCGTAGACAGGACACGCTCTTGGGAGGTGGGAGTTCAAATCCTTGCACCACATCTGGTAGAGGGGGGAATTGAAAATCCTTGCCTCCCACATCCTGGCTAAGTACTTTAACCAGTAGGCTAAAGGTTCACAAAGGTGTTTCATCTTTCAGAGGGTTAACCATGTTCAATTTAATCAAGGTGGAAGTGGCCTATTCCCAACAGTTGACAAGAAGGTGTGAGTATCTATCAACAGAGGGAAAATTTACTTTTTGTAGTGACCCAGTCTTTATTCAGGCCTAATTTGATGGTGTCGAGTTTGCAAATCAATTCCAGTTCTGCGGTTTCTTGTTGAAGTCTGGTTTTGAAGTTTTTTTGTTGAAGAATGGCCGACTTAAAAGTAATTTTTCCTCTGTTGATACTCTCACCTTCTTGTCCACTGTTGGAAATGGGTGGCATCCACCTTGATTGAATTGGCCTTGCTAGCACTGACCCCCCCAACTTGGTAAGGCAACTCCCATCTTTTCATGTGCTGTAATATATAAACTGCCTACTGTATTTTTCACTCCATGTATCTGATGAAGTGGGTTTTAGCCCACAAAAGCTTATGCCCAAATAAATTTGTTAGTCTCTAAGGTGCCACAAACTCTCCCATGAATCTCATCCTTAGGTCCAGATCGTTAGGTGACTTAAATAACTTAAAAATTCTGGTCTTTAGGAGCCTAACTTCCATTGACTTTAACTGAGCCTTAGGTGCCTAAATGCCGTTATTTCATTTTGAAAATGCAATTTCGGGTCTTAAGTCACTTCTGCAGATTTTACTCACTGCGTAGTCAGTGACTTTGATGGGCTATTCACAATCCATAAAGTTAAGCAAGCGTAAATCTTTGCAGGAATGGGACCTAAATGAGCAGCAGTATCTGAATTTCAAAAATTGCAGGAGAACGGTTTTTAAAAGTGATGAAAAATTGTTCTAATTGTGCTGAAAAAAATCTCTAAAACACTTCTTTAAGTTCTCTGGGACAGAGACTGTCTATTTTGTTGTGTGTTTGTACAGTTCCTAGCACAATGGGGTGCAGGTACATGACTAAGGCTCCTGGGCATGATAGTAATACTACTAATCTAAATCTTGGATTGACACTGTCCATTTATCTTTCTAAATTTATAGAACTGGAATTTTTACTATTTTCTCCCAAATATACTCATGTTCTAATAACATTCAATGTACACTAAAATGCTTAAATGTGAGAATTTTAAAGACAAATAAATAACATCAGTGTTTTTTAAAATAGTTGCATTGAAATCAGATAAGTTTCCTCAAATAAAATTTATGAGAACTCTGTCTATTTCAGTTTTTTGGAAGAATGAAAACAGAAATTACATATCTTGCAATCAAAACTAAATTGTCTCAAAGCATCTCATCAGGTCACTTACAAGACATCTGTGAGAAAAGGTGATGTCTATCAAATTTAGATTTTGGGTTGACGTGAGCAACAGAAGCCTACTTTAGTAATATAGATTAGACTCAATCCCACAGTTCATTAGGTAAAGATCTCATTGACTTCCATATGCCCATGCATTTAAAACAAACTGCCATAATTAAAGATGTATTTTTTCATAGAAAATAAAATACCATTTTCCATGGAGCAAAATGATACATTTTCCACTATTTTTTTTTCTCGTTAGAGATTTGCTTTAATAGGACTGTTTACTCTAGGGACTAGGAAGGTGCGTTCCATTTTCTCCTAAATTGTGGTTTCTTCCCCCTCTTCTGAATGATTTGGTTTGGTCCACTTT